AAAAAAAAGTCTTTGTAAATCATATTACCAAAAAGATTGATTTCAAGTTTTGATAAAGTGAAAATTGTTAATAAAAAATAAAAACTCATTCTGGTTAATCCCATTATATTCCGGCCAACTCTCTTCATCTATCTGGTCTTTAGTTCCCCCCCCCCCCCCCCTTACGACGTTTTGTCGGCAGATATATTACAACTCATCACCTTCGTAGTAAACAATTTATGTGTTGGCGATATAAGGTGGTTATAAGGTAGTATTTTGTAGTATTGAATACAGTATTAGGTAATATTTGGTTGCATTAGGGCTAGTATTGGGCATTTAAACTTGCCAAGTAACTGTCGTCTGCCCGTCTGGTTTTCAACATCTCGGGACAGTTGGCAAACTCACCAAACATCGATATTACAAGCTGCATTCTATATTCTGTGTGCATACACATTATCTTTAAATAAACACCTACCAAATATAAAGTATTCTGGATCCAGCAGATGAAAACTCCACTTCTTTGCAGTATAATAGGCCGAAGAGCAGCTTTGTTATGATTAGCGCTTTGTTGACGTTTCCGCGGTAGGAGTACAGTAGTTTAATCGACAAGGTCCGGAATTTACGGAAAATGTGAAACTTATTTTTTATCATTATCAAATTTTACTTTTCTTACGTTTAAAATATGATACATAAATTAAATATACATTTTGAAATAAGCAAAGTATAAAATAATATTTTTACAAAACAAAAATATGTGTGAATTATTTATCACAGGAACGACAAAATCCGGATAAACTCGTCGCTTCGATTATTATAGTCATCGCTCATTTTGTGTTTCGGACGAGGTTCGCCTTTTTGAGATATTTTTTCAATCTTTAGATATGAGCGCAGTCGTGCTCCAAAACGAAACTTAAGGAGTCGATCTGTTTTCCACAAAGAAAGTCAAAACTAAAATATCTTTGTGGAGCAAAACTGCGCTCCTACTTAATTTTGATGTTGTACACGTAAATTTCTGTTGTTTTCGCGAAAATCTCGTACGTGCGCCTCAATAAACCATCCCGATTTTATATTCAAGACAATATAATTAAAATCAAAAGTTTTTCCAGAACTATAATGCATCTTAATTATTATTTCAAATCATAAAAATGTAAAATTTGTAAAATCATGAATGTCAGAATATTGGGGCAGATAACGGGGCATACCGCATTTGATCCTTTGATTATTATTTTTTTTTTATCTTATGATCAGTTGTACTTTTTGCAATCTATACAATAGGACCTTTCGTCCAATGACCAAAAAACTTGGTCAGTGGATACCTTGTTGAAAGTGACCAAAACTTGCAAGTAGTTACAATATACAAAATGTAACCTTGATATTTGATTCAATGACCTTGAGATTTAGAAAAGTCTATTAAGTCCTAAAATGATCAACACAGATGTTTTAGAAAATAACTTTGTATTCCAGCTACAGGAATTTTGTAATAATCAACCTTCCACTGAGTAAGATGTATCATTATAGATCTAATAATCAGCATATTGCACGAAATACTAACCTCAAAGCCTGAACCTCGTGACATCTCCGTCGATTATACAGAGTTACCCTCGCCAGTGACAATGTTGCAACTTTACGAAAATTCTCATAGGAACAATCAGTCAAGTCCAGTTTCCCAATTTCTGTCAGTAGATATGCGCAAAGCTTCTTAATGTCTTCTGGAAGAGGAAGCTGTCTTTCTGCATTGAAGGACCGCTCTGTCAGAGCTATTCTGGCAAGTTTGTTAACACGTACTCCCCATTCCATATCCATAAGCTTTAATAAGCCTTCTGCATCTTTCTGATTTCCTGCATCATCTTTCATGAGGGCTCTCCCAAGTTTTGCAGACACCATTTTCTTTATATCATATCCCAATTTGAGTGCATTGCTGGGTGTTTTCAGATCCTCTTCATCCATTGCATCTTGACAACTACATTTCAATGCTGCTGCTACAATCATGTCAAAACACTGTGGACGAAGAAATTCACTCAGTTCTTTTTTCATTGAATTACCGTCTTTCCCTTCCCCTTGGTCACAATCATCCTTGTTTTTCTCTTCCCTTAGATCAGTACAATCCATCCCTAATAATTCCATTTTAAATTTTGCAGCCAACCTCATAACTGAGGATGTGTAATACCTACGCATCACCTTGTTACCTGCGTTCCTCAACATGGAAGTGTTCCCTAGAGTAACAATGAGACTATCATTTTTTGCGACCTTTGCCACCTCATCTTGTTGCATGATTGTAAATGTCTCTGATACCAAAGCTTTTGAAGCCTCCTCTGTTATCCTCTCTGACAACAAGTCTGACTGAACAATCAGTTGACATTTACTTGATGTTGGGTCTTTGCTAACACAGCAAGTTTTCATGTGTCTCTTGATTGACTTCAATAGGACCCATCCTAAGCACTCTGGGCACGGTCCATATTTGCTCATATCAAATGTAGCCATGCAGTCACTTTGATTCTCATCTTCCTCCTCATCCTCCTCCCCAAGCACTCCATCTGTTTTTTTATTACTTGACCTTCTTAACAAAAATATTTCCCCTTTCTTCTCTTTAAGTACTTTCATATTGTGTTTGTGTGATCCCTTCAAGCGCATTTTCTGAATGGCAACTTTCTTTTCTTTCCCAGACAGAGTTCCTATCTTCGTCACATCGGCATCATTAGCATGTTTTTTTGAAAGTATATGGTGGGAAAAGTTAGTGACAGTTTTATCACAAAGTGGACACGGATGTGTTGAATTATAAACACGGTCAGACTTTTTTCGCTTCCCCAAGTTAGTATAACCATTTTTCACAACTAATTTGACATATACGCCTCTGTGGTTGACATCTCTGGAAATAGAATCTTCTTCAGGGACATCATTGGACTCCTCATCAGAATCAAGACTTTCCTTGCATAAAAGGACAGAAGAAGAATTTAAAGCAGGATAAATGTCTGATTTGTCATCATCCTCAGCACTGTCTGGCACAATCAATTCATCTTCCATGATATCCATATCCTCATCCTCTGCAGTGCCTTTTTCCTGGTTCTCATCACCTGTAGTGCTTCTGTCTTTGTTCTCATCCTCTGCAGTGTTTATGTCCATGTCCTCATCTTCTGTAGTGCCTTCATCATCGTCTTCACCCTCCTCTGTAGAGGCTATATCCTTGTAGTCACCCTCTGCAGTCCATTTATCATCATCATCATCATCATCATCATCATCTTCTACAGCGATATTGTCTNCAGCATGACCACGATTTCAGATCAAAGCAACATGTCCATAATCGTCTTTCAAGATGATGATGTTTCAAATACCGCAACGTGTTTAAGTTCTCCTTATTACCACATTATATCTATAGTCAGGTCACATGAGTCAAGTAATTAATAATAAAACAATGGATTTCTAATCAATACATTTATTTTGGCACAGTAAATAAAAATAGACATACATTACTTAACATTCATTTAAGATATACAGAAAGTTAAACATTGGTAGTAAATCACAGCTGCAAAAAATAATTAAACATTGGTATTAAATCACAGTCAAAGAAGAGCACAATCATAACAGTAATGAAAGACGTCACAAAAAGTAGACACACAATTCCACATGCAATGATTGAATGAATGATTAAAAAATACTCAGAGGTATATATCATTATAAAACACTGCATAATTACTGAAAAGTTACAAACATTTTGATACAAGAATATAAGTTGTTGCAGTAGTTCAAAATACTGGAATAATAAAGGTGGGAAAGTTGACAAGAAATTTCATTTAAAAAAAAATGATGCATTTAGAAAGGTAGGAGCATTCTAGAGAAAGGTTTAATGTACAGCCTGTCACAAGTGTAAAAAGCTTTTTGTCACATAAAGAACTTAACTTTCCCACAACTGAAATGTGTACACCTGGGTCCTATTAAAATGATATGATGGATCGGATCGCTGGTAGAACGAAGCAATTTTCTTATAATTGACATAGTAAGGCCAAAAAAATAATTAATTGGTTCTCAGGCCCTCCCTCTCTTTTTCCCCATTGAATAAAGAAATACCTACCTCATCAATTTTCAAAAAATAATATGTAAAAAACTAATAATTACTTCACTAAAAATATCAGTATCAGTTGAGTATAAAACAATAACTGTTACTATTTAATGTCTTACATAGTCAAATAAGCATGATAAATAATTATTTTTGTACATTGGAACAGTTTATATAAAAATCAACTTGCATGTGGTTTGAAAGATAAAATAAAACTGCCCTAGTCTATTTTTTCACTGATAAAATGATGCAAAAAATTACCTCCCTCCCTCATCTCTTTTGGAAAAAAATTGGCTTGAAAACAAATTAATTAATTTTGGGTGGTCTAATGTACATAGCACTGTAAAGAATTTACCTGAAGAAAAAAAAAATCACAACAGGCAAGATGCCTAATGAGGCAGACGTACCAGCTGATGTGGTATCATACTATGATGTGATATATAAAAACAAAGGAAACTTAGACGTTTCCCTAGAAATGACTTATGTAAAAGGAGTAGAAAAAGTTTGTGTGAAGGTCAGCGTGTACGAAAAAGTGATAGACCTTACACAGGAGGATGATGTTATAGACTTAACCAAAGACAATGATGTGACAATTGAAGAGTACAGGGAAGTACTGCAATTAGAAAAGCAGTATAATTTATAAAGTAAGTAAAGCCAATACATCCATGTTAAAACCGCGCATTTACACAACTAATTGGTCAAAGGGAAATAACTCTTTTTCAAAACTTTGATTAAGACTGCAACTATATATACATGTGATGTTTGAAACAGGACTCATTTCTAGTAATACTGAGCAGTCACACTGTTCTCATTAACATAAAAAACATGGAACTACCTTATCAAATAATGGTGTACTAAGGTTTGCTTTCAAAAAGCAAATCAATACTGAATGTGCAATTTACAGTGCTGTAGAAATTGAAAGAACTGATAGATTATACATCAAAGTAAAAGAGTTCATGTTTAAAGAGGATCAGCAAAGACTATTGACAGAATTTGCTTTTGATATTCAGGTAAGACAGTATAATAATGTAAAATAATGACATTTAAACTTGAGGTATTTTGATATTAAAGTTAATATGGTATACAATTATGGTATATATAAACATGAGGTATTTTGATTATCACATTTAGTATAATAATGTGAACTTGTAACATCTAAACCTGAGGTATTTAAGGTAAGACAGTAGAATGATATCAAATTATTATATATAAACCTGAAGTATTTTGATATTAAAGTTAATGTGGTATACAATTATGGTATATATAAACATGAGGTATTTTGATTATCACATTTAGTTTAATAATGTAAAATAATGACATTTAAACCTGAAGTATTTTGATATTAAAGTTACTGTGGTATACAATTATGGTATATATAAACATGAGGTATTTTGATTATCACATTTAGTATAATACAACTGAGTATTTTTTAACATAACATGTAAATTGCAGCACCATATAAATCATACCTCTACCTGAGGATTTTGATTATTACATTTAAGTACATTTCAAAATGTAAAATCACAGCTTTACAATCACCACATGTAAAAATGACAGCAAAATTGTAATTTATAAACTATTAAAGAAATTATATATCATTATCATAAAAATATAAACAAATCAGATCAAAAAAAAATCACAGCACCACCTCTATCTGAGGATTTTCATTATCACAGTAACATTTGGAAAAGTAAAAAGATGTAAAGTCATCTGAAGCTATTCAACATCAACTGTAACTAGCAGTTAAAGGCGAGACTCGGCCATTAGCCGAGTCCTGCTTCTGGTCATGATGGGGGATCGTCTGTCAGAGTCCAACTCTATATCATCTCCTTGCAACGGTTGTGGTGTTGATTCCTTCAAGCTGGGTAATGCATCAATTGCTTTTGGCCACGTTTCCTCTCTGTACAGCTCATCTGTAAAAGAAATGATATCACCGAGTTAATGAAATAGTTCAGGGTGAACCATGTAGACTAATGCATAATTCCTCAGCAAACTTCAAGAATTATTTGTAACAAATTTTAGGCTGCGTCCAAAATCATATATTATAAGAGTCTTACCTTCGCTTTCATCTGATCCAGATGCCAAATCATCACCATCATCATTGTCTGGGTCTGCTAAGTGAGAAAAAAAAAACATTCCACAGAAGCTGGCAGGAGTTATTGTAGTACACATGTATTTCAAGTACACTATTAAGTTTGTTAATACCTGAATCAAAAACATTTTTTTAACATCATTTTAGGTAATATTGTATATATATAGTCTTCTAAAATCAACTTATTATGAGCATACTTACACAAAGGAGCTTAAGACCTTCTTTTGCAATGTAGTAAAATACATGCAATGAATGCATACCCAACAAATGCCCCAACTGAAACAAGAAAAAAATAAAGATTTAATGTTCCCTTGAGAAGGCCAGTGATAAGAATGGTTCAGTCAGTTATGGTTCATTTATCACTTTTTTTTAACAATACCTATGACCTATCTGCTCTTTGTACAATTTCAAAATTTCTATGAACCATTAAAAATGTTTATGAGCCTATGGACCCATGCACACAATTATGATAAAATTACCTGCAATAATTATGGCAGTGGTGACATCACCATCATCACCATTTGGAGACACCTATGATTAACAAAAAAAAATTGAAAATGGTCAATTGAGAATACTAAACATGGGCATTGCACAATAAAAGGTGTTAATTAAGTTTATAGACATGAACCTTTTTTGAAATGACTTCAAGATTTCAGACATGAATTCTGTTAGAGGGACATTTCCAATGAAAGACGACTTCAAGTTTTTTACTTTAGTTACTTCAATCCTAATAAGAAAAGAGATTGTATGTAAGACTAACCGTGGAACTCTCAGAGGTGGTCGTGGCATTAGTGTCAGGGGTCTCAGAGGTGGTTGTGGCATTGGTGTCAGGGGTCTCAGAGGTGGTTGTGGTATTGGTGTCAGGGGTCTCAGAGGTGGTTGTAGCATTGGTGTCAGGGGTCTCAGAGGTGGTTGTGGCAGTGGTCCTAGAGGTGACGGCGACGACAGTGTCAGAGGCCTCAGAGGTGGTGGTGGCGGTAGGAGCGTCAGGAGCCTCAGGGGTGATGACCACAGTGGCAGGGATGTCAGAGGTGATGCCGAGAGTGCCAGGAGCCTCAGAGGTAGTTGTGGCAGGGGCGTCAGGGGCCTCAGAGGTTGTTGTGGCAGGGGCGTCAGGGGTCTCAGAAATGACGACTGCAGTGTCAGGAGCCTCAGAGGTGGTGGTGGTAGCAGCGTCATGGGTCTCCCAGGTAACGGTGACAGTGGCAGGGGTCTCAGAGATGACGGCTGTAGTGTCAGGAGCCTCAGAGGTGAGGACGGGAGTGTTAGGAACCTCAGAGATAGTAGCATTTGCCTAAAGAACAGTAGTTAGATTGTTCTCAGTAGCCGACGTCATTTCAGAATGATATTTAAAACAAATATATATAACTGATCAAGAGTGCATAAACACTTGGTTGAACTTTCGTAAATATCAATAATGATTTTTATTTATATGACAAAAGTGGATAAATACACTACGTCATGGCTTGATTTGTAATATATTGCAAATCAAATATCAAAAATTAATATCCAGACATAGTAAAGCTATCAGATGCACGCAGCAATAAATTCGGTTTTCTATTATTTGTTGGAACTGGAGCTAAACAACAATAATGAGTAACACTCATTAATATTGTTTAATGAAAACATAAAACTTACACATGCAGACACCGTAGCTGGTAAGTTAGGACACATTACAGCATTTGGCGGAAACAGGACGATTTCTTTCTTGTCACATGTCCTTAGGTGGAACTGGATCTTCCACTTTTTAATTACGATGACGGGTTGATCTATCTGTAATCCCCTGCAGAGTGTGAAATGTCCCTCAGACATATCCTTCATGTCGCATGCATTTCTATACTCATTCGTATCATCCACCATCTGGTAACAATACCACGTAAGCGGTAAGAGCATGATACCGTTCAACGCCGCCATGATGTATGGGGAACACTAAATGCAGGCAAACACATTTAGGTTACTCGTTAGGTTTTAAGTGAAAGACTACATCCTTTTAATAAAAATAATATGCACATTAGAAAGAACTTCTAACGCATGCGAATCTAACAAAGAATGAGAAATAGGTGATTGAGGCGTTATGTTTCCGTAAGTATCTCTTCTACCAATTCAGTACTACCCGCTGCCTAGCGTTCTGCGGTTCTTATTCGTATCGTTAACACAAGATAAATATGCCAGTACAACTATGATTGCACAAAACTGTGTTAAATGCTAAACATATTTCTTTTAAATTGTATGGTTGTTTTAAAATCGATTTTGCCTTTAAAACAAGTGTATTATTGTATACATTTTATGGTAACCTTAATGACCGGATAGGGTAGGATCTGACCGGATCGATGGATTTTGATGTAAATGAGTGTTTTTGCAGAATATATGGAAGTATTAATTTCTAAAATACAAATAGGGTTTTGTTTTGCATATACTCGTTTGCTTGTACATATATATTTTTTTTAAAAGTATTGCTAGGGAAATATTCATCAAAATACGTTAAAAAAAAAAAAACATGACGAAGGCATTCATAAATGGGACACAGGTGTTGCCTTTTATCACCAACGACAACACGAATCTATTTCGTGAGAAACCATTTGAAAGCGTTAATCTATTCCATTTATCGCCTTCTATGTGTCATTTTCTTACCATAACTTTTATTTGATAAGTAAATGAGGTACAGGTGTTTAGTGGAAAAACAGCATTCTGCTTACACAGCATCCGTGATCTCTCGACCGGTTGCTAAGAACACGCATACAACCCCATTTTTACGTCGTTAGCATCCATGTTCAGTCAACATGTTGAGGTGTGTGTCAAGAACACGCCTTCAAACCTCGAATTTTTACGTAGTCAGCATTCGTGTTCAGTCAACCTGCTGAGGTACGATGGTAAGAACACGCCCACAAACCACGCCAGCGTCCATGTTCAGTCAACCTGTTGAGGTTCACACCCATTTCTCGCCTCTTACTGACTATGGTTTGAATTTGTGGTATAAATTGGCGGTAAAAGTGTTAAAAAATGGCTGGGGAAACTTCTGTTGGAGATGTAAGAATTATCGAATTCATGAAAGACGGCGAAAAACGAGTAAAAATCGATAGCCGTATCAACAGTGCCCTGATTGTATCTGTAAACTCGTGGAATGGCGACGTCTACATCCATATAAATAGGAAAGATAGATACCTGCCTATGAAAATGGAAGA